ATATATATTATATATATATTATATATCAAGACTGCACAAACCTTTTCCCCAAAACGAAAATCTATCTGAGGGCTGCAGCCAAATTAAATAATATAATCCATAAAATACAAATACTTCTTAAGTACAGTCCTTTTATTTTAATGACTATGTCCTGCCGGGGTGTGACATGATTTGTTTGTGAACAAACTAATACCGTTTCAGAATTTTATATATTTATACTTCTCATTCAACCACAGTTAAATTCACTCTAGGAGGCACAGTTTATATGGATAGTATTTATTTTTTACAATAACAAGCTGGAATGAAAACAAGCAAAAATGAAATAAAAGGAACAACTTTCTACTTCTTGTCGTTTTATAAAATGTAAGAAGTAGAAGTAAAAAGTAGGCTGAAAAATAATTACTCAAGTAAAGTACAGATACCCAAAATTTCTACTTAAGTACAGTAACAAAGTATTTGTACTTAGTTACTTTACAACTCTGCCCAACAACCAGGTCAGCAGCTCTGTCTACACCCATCCTCACAGCTCAGACTGATCCTTTCCATCTGTTGTGCACACAAATATGTTTTTAATCATAGTTTAAAAAAAGAACTCTGTTCTCACGAGGATACACTGCATGTGCGTCACATCACCTGTAAACAGCTGGATCAGTGTCAGAGCCATGTTAAATAAAAGGATAACCCAGCTATTTTTAAAGCATGGCTTCAGGTCAAAATTTATAACAAAGACCTCACATGATGTTAGTGCTTGGAGGAAGTTGTTTTGTTTTAACAGGGGCAGATATACAATATTTTTCTTCTTCTTTTTGCACCTTTATTATTCAATAATTGATTTACTTTGATGTTTTTAATGGTTTTTGTTGGTTTTAAGAAATAAATTAATAAATACTCACAGCTACTTCTACCAGTCAACTTCTGAGGCCTCACACAGCAACTCCAGCTGCAAATGACTTTTTTCTTCTATTCCCATGGAATTCAAGGATTAAAATAATATTTTTAAAACAGCATGGGTTTATGCGGGGGTCCCTCAAATTTTTCACTCTTGTAAGGTGTCCCCAACCCAAAATGTTTGAGAACCCCTTCTCAAACTTATAGAACACTCACACCAAGTGTTTACTTGTTTAAAAGTCTGTTTAACAGCCTGTTAAAATACACCAGAATGCAGGAAATGGCATCTAATTCGTTCAAATTTTTCTGGGGGAGGACCCCCAGACCCCCCACCAGTGATTTTACACACTGTTTTCTCCTTCATTAAATACCATACAGCCCTGATCACAATTGGTGGCAAAAGTCCAAATATGCAAATTGGACAATGACGTTATTTAGCAACCTTTTAGGATGGCCGAAAGCAACTTTTGACAAGTGTTCAACGGCTCGAAATCTCACTCCAAGTTCAGGTCAAAACTTGAGAGCCCTGCTTTAGTCATTATCCTGGGCATTTTAACAAGGGTAATCTGAGCCAAGAACTACAGTTTATTAAACGCATAACAAGAGCAGAAAAAAATCCTGGACCACTGTTATTCAACTGTGAGCGAGGCCTACCGGGCGATGCCACACACACAGCTCTCGGACTTTCAGACCACATCATGGTCCACTTAATCCCTGCTTAGAGGCATAGGCTGAAGCTCTCCAAACCTGCAGTGAGGACTTCAAAAAAGTGAACCACTGAGATGGTGGAGGAGCTGCGTGTGTGCATGGGCTCCACAGACAGAGATGTTCAGGATGGCTACAGACAACCTGGACAAGTTTACAGAGGCTGTGACCTTGTATGTTTACTTTTGCGAGGAAAGCATAGTGCATTAGGGTATGCTATGAAAATGACAAGCCCTGTAAACAATGTACATAAGCAAATTATACCTCGGCCACATATCACCTGCAGGGGGCAGAGAAAGTGTCTCAGATGAGGTGCCATGGTGGTCCAAGTGCTTTTGCCTGAACTGTTGCAAACAACAATTTAGACATACATGCAAACAGACAGACATACATACATTTCCACAGTCACTGCAGTCATGAAGTCCAAGTCTGTCAGTGGAAGTTTTTATTTCGATGGAGAAGTTCCTATACTCAGGCTTGACTGTCCTGAGCAGCGTGACTGTGTTCAGGGAAGCATAGGCTTGCCTTGCGTTGTCATCGTATTCATCTCCTCTCCTCCATGAGCCATTGCCTGGAATATACAAAATTACTTTTTTAAATACAACTAGCATACATTGTTTTATTATTAACATCCTGTTAAAGCATGGCAAAGTAAATGAGTCTGTAGTCAATAAATCTACAACCTCTGCTTAAAATAAAAAAGGAGGAAGATGTGCCAGTTTACCTATACCCAACTTTTGTCAAAGTTTCACACATTTTGATTCTGTTGTGTTAAATTTGCAATAAATTTTATATACACTGCCTGGCCAAAACAAAAGTCGCCACCAAAACAAAAGGCACTAATAATTCATTGGGCCACCTTTAGCTTTGGTTACAGCACACATTTGCCATTACATTGTTTCGATAATCTTCTGCAATTGTAACAGGACTAATATTTTATATGAATCCACTTGTCATCACATTTTATTTGGGTTATGTTTAAGGGGTAGAACAGCACTCTGTCTCTTGGTGGTTCGGTGTAATAACTAATGGACACAAGCACCACGTTGCAGTTGTAAGTACTGGAAAATTATAAATTATGAATAAATCATAAATTATTAATGAATAGTTTTAATATCAACCTCAGGCAACACTCCCCTTTATTTTGAAGGTTAAAAGGAAGAAACCCCTTGACAAATCGATGGTTAGTTGTTATCAGTCTCAAATCAGTACCCAAAAATAATTGAGTTATTTCTTAGATAAAACCACCAAACTTTATCAAGACACAAAGACATTTAAAATTTGGTACACTGGTCATGTACCCTTTATTTACAGATTAATATGATAAATTATGGCAGAAATGGAATGATGTAATATTTCAGAGCTCAGCAGGGTGAGGTTAAGACAAGAATGACTGAAATTGATATTATATAAATTAGCCGTTAAAACCGTTATAATAATAAATTGATATTATTATAACAGCTCTGATGTAGCTATTTGATCCAGGCAAACCATAAAGATGCAGAATAGATCGAGCATAAAACAAAACAAACAAATAATGGATTGTTGAGGCAAAAAGGGGATTTTAGAAAGTCATTTTAAGGATGTTGACTCAGATTGAAGATTGGGAAAATTTAAGCTAAGTTTAGATAGTTTTACCAAAACTTGAGAGGAAAAAAAAACGAGATCAACTTTTAAGCCTGAGCACCTTCTGTCACCAGCAAAAGTCAGATTCACTTACCAGTTGGTTTCCTGCTGTGTTTTGGTACCAGAGTACTTCAGCTGCGGACAGAGGCCACTGAAGTGTTGTTCCCCAGAGGGGATCTGTTGCTTGGTTTGGCTGCCAGACACCCAGGGCACCAGTCTGTGAACTCTAAACCAATAGTCAGTGACTGGTAGCTGTGGTAGTGAAAACGGCTGGTGTTAATGATGGCTGCTAACAAAAAGAGGGAACGACAGGTCTTCATTCCCGGATTGGTTGGTCCCATCTCTCGTCGAGCAAAGTGAGTGGAAGTGAAGGGTTGAGTTAACCATTAGCTTATGTAGCATGAACGTCCGTGACCCCTGACATGACCTTTTGACCACCACTGGTCATGTCTCACAACTAACAGAACTTTTTCTAGAAAAAGCTCTCTTAGAGACAAAACTCTATTGTAGCTACAAATTTTGACCTCGTCTGAAGATAATACTGACATGAAAAGTCTATTTTAACATTTTAAGATTCATTATCTAAAAAAGAAAATAATCAATAATTATTAACATGGTATTCCTTTTTAAATGTAACCCTTTTTCAAGTGTGTATACCATACTGTGATCTGAATATGAATTATTCCAACTGTCATTTAATTTTACCATCCAGGGTTTGATGTAACAGACTGTTTTTCTCCTTTTCATGAGCAGGAAAAACACCTGTGTGTGACACAATGCCATGGTCTAAGTCAGGGGTGTCCAAACTTTTTGCAAAGAGGGCCACATTTTGTTATGTGAAAATGTGCAGGGGCCGACCTTTCTTTCGGTCTGGCATGGTTTGAACCATTAAAATTAAATGCAAATGAAATATTTTATGAAAATTTTATTGCAACTGGCATACTTTTCATTTCTTTACAGAACATAAATAAATCTAATAAAGTTTTTTTTTACCACATTTAATCAGTGTTTTATATTGTATGATCACATAAAATGAAGACAAAGTGTCTGGGGCAAAAGCCCTCTGGAAGACATAACTAGGTCCATTTGAAACAGAAATTGTTCACTATTAAAGGCTCTCTGTAAACTTAAAACTTTTACTCAAATTAACTCAGTTCAAAACTGTGAACAGGATAGTTACTTTCTTCAAAAATCCAAAACAAGCACTGAGGAAAAAAATGATACACAGACTGAAAAAACAGTGCATATTTATAAATGTGGTTTTGATAATCACACACAAAAAAACCCTGACAATTTTGAACGGAAGCATTCCAAATAAAACAACTTGCCTTCACTAGTGTGAAGGGTGACACTGGGGTTTTGACTGCAGTAAATAAGTTATATTTGGTTCGAAATCAGTGGTTTTGATGCGCAAAATGTCATGCAGGTGAGGGTCACTTAATCTCGTCCTCAGGCGGTTCTTGTTAATGTTCATGACAGAGAATGTCTGCTCGCACTGTAATGGAACTAATACTTTTATATTTAAGCTAGTTATTCATGGCATCCTTTAACGACCTAGGTTTTCATGACATGCTGTTCATCTGCAGATAGAATGATTAAAGTCAGAACAAGAATTGCTAAAAACAGTCATTCTTAGATATCACTTGTGTTTATCTTTGTGTTTTCCGTTGACCTTGTATCAAATCTTGCTAAGTTGACATAATAGAGTTTGTTAATATATATATGAGGCCTCTCGAGACACAGTGAGTAGTGTGGAGAGACAGTGACAGAGAGAAGCAGAGGCACAGAGACAGTCCAGGTTGTTCTCTGTGTTTCCTGTTGTTGCAATAAAACTCAGCTGATCATCTCACAGAGTACCTTCATTCTTGGACCACGTATTTCTGTCTTTGGTGAATAAATATTGCCATAACAGGTTGGCGTTGTCGCGGAGACCACAGGAGATCGACGGACCAAGGCCACATTGCAGATGGACTGATATGAGTGAGCAAGGACTGCTCAGGACCGTGTTTCCAGCTGGATGAAAATAACCTTTTTATGGTAAATTGTTTTAACAACAGAGATACGCTGTTGACAATGGTGATGGATGATCTTGAATAAGAAAAGAACATTGAATTTTTATTTTTGGCTGTTGAAGAACCTGAGAAGATTTTTGAAACATCATCTGCTGAGAGTGAGTACAAAAAAGCTTCATGATGCCTCCTTACTTTTCCAAAGAGGATTTCTGCCAGCTTCTCCAAAAGGTGACAGTGTTGGAGCTCAAGATTCATCGTTTGGAAGAGATGAATGCTTTGGAGAACTCAACAAAGCATTCACTCAACCCTTCTGACCTGGTGTCCTGGTTCCTCCCCCTTGCACTTGTGTTGTACCTCGTCAATCTCAAGTTGTGACAGCAGTTGCCGTTTGCAGATGTTGGAACACTGAGCTACTAGTTGTTTGGCAGTTAGTGTCGACTGGGGATGTCGAAGTAACCATTCCTCCCACAGTCTTTGCATGTAGCCCCTCTGGCTAGGGTTACTTGAGTATTCCAACAGATCCATGTTTTCATCTCTCGCCCATTTTCGTCTTGTTCCAGTAGCCCATTTTTCATCAAGGTGCTCTGGTTCCCCAGCACCTGACGCAGACCTTGTTTGGCCGGGCGACGTCTGAGCCGGCATGTTATGCTTATTAGTGTCTCTCATGGTATCTCATGGCCCATGAAAATGGGTGAGAGATGAAAACATGGATCTGTTGGAATGCTACTACTCAAGTAACCCTAGCCAGAGGGGCTACATGCAAAGACTGTGGGAGGAATGGTTACTTCGACATCCCCAGTCGACACTAACTGCCAAACAACTAGTAGTTCAGTGTTCCAACATCCGCAAACGGCAACTGCTGTCACAACTTGAGATTGACGAGG